TTCCCCGACAAGGGTTCTCCCATTTACTGTTATCTTAGTCTGGTGGAAGGCCGTCACCTCCCCCGGGTTTGTGATCCTGTAGCAACAGGCATGCCCCTCACAGTGGCTCGGGTCTCCCCCCTTACCGCTTACAGCTGTTGCATGTCTGACTGGCTTGGGTCTGTTGCTTAGCTTTGGGCAGTTGGGCCTGATGTGGTCCGGCTCCCCGCAGTTATAGCTCCCCTTCTTTTCCGAATTGGGTGGTTTGTCAGAATCTGGGGCCGCCTCGCGCTCAGCAGAAGGTGGCCCTCTTTCCCCTGTTGGGCCTGGCCCTCCCTTCCCCCCTCTCTGGAACCCGTTCTGTTCCTTCCCAAAGTAGGGAGGCTTCTTGTCTAGCCCCTCACGATTTAGCAACAGCTGGTCTGCAATTTCAGCCACCTCTTGGATGGTTTGGGGGCCCCGTCTTTGACTAGGGTTTTAATATCCCTCGGACAGCGGTGATAAAATTGGTCCAGCGCTATGAGGTTCAGTGCCTTCTCTCTATTGTCAGCCTTGACTCCGTCTGCCCATTTAAGGAGCGAGTCCCACACCTGGGCCACAAACTCGACCACTGTCTTCCCCAGTTGTGGGATGGTATTCTGGAAATAATCCGGTCCTAACCTGAACCTTGAAGACAGCATTTTTAAAGGCATCATACTTATCTGCTGATTCCGAGGGCAGGCTGTTCAGGAACAGACACGTCGCCCTCAACCAGAGCAGCCATGTGTTTCACGAACTCTTCCTTTGGCAACTTCCATCGGTGCACTTGGTTTTCGAAGATGCTTAGGACCACTTCTGGATCATCCCCGTCTTTGTAGCGAGAGAAGACGGGGGTGATCAGTCTGAGGGATGCATCCAGTGTGGGGGTAACACTGCTACCACCCCGGGATGGGCTTGATTCTGGCTCTGCGCACCCTGAGAAACACAGGCCTAGTAGACCTCAAGAGTACTTGATTCACTTCAAGAACTTGGGGTGCTTCCCTCAGTCGGAAGCACAAGTAGTGGTCTCCCTTAGTCAGCGGAACCAAGGGGACTCCAAGGCATAATCTAGGGTGACAAGCCCATCCTGGGGTGGTGGCAGTGTTACCCCCTGGCTAGTGGGTGTGCTCCAGGAAGGGGGGCAACCAGATACGAGGCACCCCTAAGGAGGCACTCGGAGCCTGGAAGGTGGTCAGGCGCAGTGAGGTGGGTGGCTCAACGCAGGAGTGCCCCCTACTGGCCCGCCACAGAGGCAAGGATTCGAACCACTAGTCTTTATTTAAATCCAACAGCTTTACCATATTTTCTCATACAACATACATCTTTCCCCCCCAAAAATGGATGTTGGAGTGCACACTATATGCAAGAAATATGGTAAGAGCAGGTTCTGATGTTTACTAGGTGAAACAAAGTAAAATCTGCAGGGATCCATAGGGTGATGAGCAGGCTTAGCTCCCCAGCTGCTGCTACTCAGTCAGTTACTACAAGAAAATATTATTTTTTCTTAGAATCATAGAAGGGACCTCAGGAGGTTATCTAATCCAAGCCCCTTCTCAAAGCAGGACCATGCCCAACTAGATCATCCCAGCCAAGCCTTTGTCTAGCCAGGTCTTAAAAACCTCCAAGGATGGAGATTCCACCACCTCTCTAGGTAACCCATTCCAGTGCTTCACCCCCATCTTAGTGAGAGAGCTTTTCCTAATATCTAACCTAAACCTCCCTTGCTGCAACTTAAGACCATTGCTCCTTGTTCTGTCATCTGCCACCACTGAGAACAGTCTACCATTCTTCATTTTACCTTTCAAAAGCACAGCAAAACACTTTGAGGCGTTGTACATGAAAAATACAGTAAAAGGTCTAGTGTTATTTCATTGGCTGAAGATATTGGAGGACTCAAAAAAAAAAAAAAAAAGCAACATTGTTTTTAAACTAAAGAAGCAGTGCGTTAAAATAGCTACACTCCAGCAGATTATGCAAACATTATAGGAAGTTTACATATGTATAATATCTTTATATGATCATCTCCAAGCCTGTAATTCCATGCAGAGAACACAGAAACCTATCTGTAGTCTCCCTAAGTCCAGTATGTCAACCCAGATATCAGCCAAGGGCTCCAGAGAAAGCCTTAAAGACTGTACAGCTGTGTGAGGCTTTACACCTGAGAAGTTTCCTAATCCGCTCTGGTGATCAGTTTATGTCCTGAAGCATGAGAAATGACAGCTCTGAGTTTTAATACTAGCTAGTCAAACTGCACATGCTTTTCTTACCTGTATAAATGTCTTATTAAAGGCAATATACGGTAAAAGCTGCGCTATATGGCATCTTACAAGCTGGCATGCTCCACTAACCGGCATGTCGGCTTGTAAGATAAAGTGAAACCAGAAGTGCCCACCGAGCCTTTTAAAATAAAAGGTAAATTGTATAAAGAACTACTGGGCAAGACAGGAAAGAACAAAGAGACTATTTGTAACCTTCCATATGATTCACCATACTCTCTCCCCCCAATCACCTCCTCTCAACCCCCACCCATTTTCAGCCAGCTCTAATTTATTAAACTCCTTCTCTTACAGAAGTCCTGCATCTCTGCTCCTCTCTTCTTCGATGTTTTCCACTAGAATGGCAATATATTGTTTTAAAGGCTTTTGTTACCACAGACCTTCCTTTAAATTGCTAGATGCAAGTCACTAAATACCTATGCGCTTAGCAGAATTGTCCTCTCTTCTGAGCATCTTAGTGCCATTCAGTAAAACCCACTTGCTGTAAAGATATTCTGCTCTTCTTTCCACTGATGCTTTAAACTGCCCCTACCCCTCCAGGAAATGGAGGGACATTGTCTGTAACCTAAGACCAAGCATATTAGTCCTAACTCTGAAGCCGACTGAATACAGACACACTGCATGCCCCGTTAGAGCAAGGAAAGCACCATCTGAAGGGTAAGGGGCAATCCAAGGCCACCGACTACTCCCCAATGATTCTGCTGGACTTTGGACCTATCTACTGGATCCAACCCTGTGAAGTACTGAGTACCTCCTTCAAAACAGTCAGACTCGCTCAACTCCGCTTTACTTCAGTAGGGTTAGCAGCTTTCACACACTGGGCTCAGCATTTTCATGGATTGAACATTGAACTGTCAGTCAATATTAGTAAGAACAGGTCACATCTTCCCTTACTGAAAAATTCATCACTTCTGTGCAATCTGAACCTTTGTACCTCAGATTTAGTGGCTGGTGCCTGCTAGTGAAGATTAAACAGAATATGCTTTCCCAGAGTTACACCCGGAGGAAGTGGGTCTCTGTGCTGGAGCGTCTGCTTATATTCTGGATTTAGAGATTTTCCCAAATATCGACTGCCATGGGCTCAACAGAAAATACCCTAAAAAAACACATATTTTGCAAGGTGATAAGTGATGAAAAGAACAAAAACAATAAAACTCATGCATAATCTCTGAAGACACCAAGTTGTCAGCCAGGAGGTGATGAAAGTAAATCTGTTACATTTGGAGCTTAAAGACCAGTTATTTGCAACATATTTTGAGAACCTGGCTCGCATTATGCTACAACTGGGTAGTTTTCCCTCCAGATAAAAGTTCACCTCCTCTCACCCTCCTCGGTGTCACAGTTAATCACAGCTAAGTACATCCCTCTGAGTGCTCACAAGGGACTCCCAGGAAGGCAAAGCCGTATCTGCCACATCTAGTCAACTCACAGTAGGGAAGAGTGACCCGAGTACGCATGTGAAGCGATGTGGGAAAGGTGTCCATGGCACAGGGACTGAAGTCAGGAGTGTGACTGTGTGCACTTCCACATGCAGGAGGAAAGACTGAAGGGAAACAATACTCTGCTTTAATATGCCCTCTCCCAGCTTAATGGGATTTCCCCAAAAACAATGCATAAAGGAGATTACGTCACTAAAACCACTCTGGCCAGAACTAGCAATGGAAAAATCTCAAACAATACCTGAGCAGGTGTGACGTTTTTGTCCCAAACCCATGCACCCCTTGCGGTCCCTGGGTCACCTCCATCCTACAACTCAACCACACACTCCCTAAACTCTTTTCCTTTTCTCTTTCCTTTGATGGCTCATGGGACCCCCTCAGCAAGTCTGCCAGCATCTCTCTGCTAACCTCCAAGCTTACTACTTTCTTTCACTGTCCTGGTACCTTGAGGCATCCAGGGTTGAGAGCAACTGTTGTATTCAGAGTGCAGAAAGTGGGTTTTGGCTCCTCTTAGAAGCTTAAAGCTTCAGAAGGCATGCAACGCATTCTCAGGCACAACCAAAGGGGATGCACTGGAGTGTGGGGACGTGAAGAGAGGCTGCTATATCCATTTGCCCCATAGGTCTGCAGCAGTGCAGGGGAGGGAAGGAACAGCAGACATTCTAGTTGAGACTGGACCATGGTAGGAAGACCATGGACTTGGGGTGGACAGCACTGGCAGACATGGGAGTGCTGGGAAAATGTTACAGAAGAGCCTCAGAACCAATTTGTCCTTCTAGCACAAAACCCAGTTCAATCGCCTAATTTCCAGGAGGAAAAGACCAAGAAGAGTCTCATGGACGAATTCTATGCTGCTTCTACCCTCGCTCACAGGGGCGCATCCACTGAAGCTTCCTAGCTCTCATTCCAAGTCACTGGTGGTGTTCACTCGTCAGCTTACAATTCAGAAATTAAAAGCAGACCAGACAGTTGCCAAGAAGTAGCCAAACCAGGTCTCCCTCCCTCCTCCCCACCACTAACTGAACTAATAGAAAACATTATTACAATAGCAAAGCATGCTTGCAACATCAAACCGGCAGGTTTCTTTTGAAGGCAGAATCAGAGAAGGCAAGGCTCATAATCTGAAACAAGTCAACTCATAATAGAGTTTTAGAAAGATGACACATATATAATAGCTTGTAGATTCAGCCTATGTTATTTGTAAATCTATTCTGAATCAGTATAGAAAGCAGAGTGCATTGTAAAGCAACTGTTTCAAATCTCAACTAACTGGTTTTTGAGCAAGTACCTGTAATTGCTTTCCTCTCTCCTTTCTCCAGTTTTGCTTGTGTAGATTCGTTATAACCACCATGTTCCATCGACTGCTCCACCCTTTTTATTGCAGTGCCCTTGAAATTCATCTGGAGTTGGCTAGTGTACTTCTCATGCTGCAGAGACAGAAGCAATAATGGGTATGGTGTTTTCAACTGCTGTACAGCAGGCAATGGAAAGAACAATAGTTCAATGTACTCATATCAAGACAAATATTGTGATTGTGCTCTGTAACAAGAGGAAAACACACACCTGAACAAAAAGCTGTGGTGTGCTATAAATGCCAGCTGAGAAGCTTTCGAATACCTCATTCAGAAAGGTATAAAATGACATAGCTAGTCTGCACAAAGGTCACTATGTCTTAGCTACACAAAACATCTCATTAGAAAATGCTTTTAAGAATAAACTAGGAACAATTAGAATTAATGCCACTTCCATTCAGGATCCTAGAGCTGAAGCCGCTTTATTCTCACAATGGCATTATAAATTCTTTCAAGCTGTTCTTTTTATGTATCTTATCTTAAATGTTCAGTGATGCCACAGAACATATTCCTCATTATTTTCCCCAGATCTGGACAGAAGGATTGGGAAGCTATTTCAAATTAAGAGATCGCATTATTAAAGTGCTAAGTGATCTAACCAGAACTGAATCTATAAAAAAGGGTGTTCCTATTTAAATCAGGTCTGAGTAAGCGCAATTAGTCATCCACTCAGTCCAAACCTCCTACACAGTAGACTATGTTGGTGTTCTTAAAAACAAAACCTGGCCAAGAAACTATAACTGTCAATTAAAGACTGACATTTGGCATTGGTATTTCCAGGTCTAAGCAACTTTGCAATGTCACTGTGAGCTGTTAAACCACCACTGTCCTAGAGGAGGCTGCTTTTCTGCCGTGACCAAAATGATAACGGGAAGTTTTGTATCTGCTTCTGTGCTACATTCAGGAGAGCCACCTCACTGATGCAGGAGGGACTGCTCCAGGAGAAAAGATTAGGAGTTCAGAAGGTGAAAGGAACTTGTAAAAATTAGGCAAACAGCAAGAGTAAATTGAGCAAATTTTAACCCACCAGAGGAAATATTAAAGAGCCAGTATAGGCCACACCATCCAAAAAAAAACAGATTCATGATTCGCTACTTGATTTTTAAGAGGATACGGACTTCTTAATGAATCAGTTTAAGGCTCTGGCTGTTCCTCTTTATGTACTAAAGTTCTAATAACTTTCTCTCCTGACAGTCACAACTCCATAAATAATTTCAGTTAAATGCTAGAATTGGGACAGGAAGATTAGAACTGAGCTACCTGGGAGATGCATCCATCCTCAAAGCAAGGTCCTCCCAGTCACATATTGAAGAGAAACTGTGAGTTGGAGTTGTTTCCAGACTGCTTTATTGAAGCACATAAGAGTTTCAAGCTATATGGCTGGCACAAGTGCTCAGAAAAAAGTTAAGATATTTAGCATTTTCCTGGTTAATGGCATCATTGCCTGATATATCTCCTTATAAAAAGAGCACATATGTGCTTACCTTTAATGCTTCCTCGGGGACTTTGTGTTGAATATGTTCCAGGACATACATGTTCGAATGTACAGAGCTTGTTAAGGAAGTAAAGAAGGCAACAAAAACAACACAACAAATCTGTCCACAATTTAGTTACTGAAATGGAGATTATAAAACTCAGAAAGCACAAAGGAGGGAAAAATACAGATATTTATAGCAATCTTCACTCTTTCAGAACTGTACAACATAACTGTCTTAAAACAACACCAGCATCTCTTTTGCAGCAGATTGCTGATCATTTCTATAGACGTGATTGAGCTGTTAGGCCCAGTGCTGAGTAAAGAGCAGCACATAGCCAGCCCACAAAGGGAGTTGTGGGGAGAAATACTGACTCATTGCTACATGGAATGGGAGGATCCAGGGCCATGATACCATTCCCTCCCTGCTCTTGAACTAACTCTCTACTACACGGTTCCTGCTCTTCCTCCTCAGTACCCAAGGCATAACTGGATTAGCGCCACATGCTCAGGTGCAAAGATGGAAAAGGACGCTTTCGTACCCTGAACAGATGCCTCAGATAAGACATACACCTGCTCTGCATTAGCAAGTTTTACAGTCACTACAGTTTCACATATGAAGAGTAAATCAAGTTGTGAGCAGCTATGCCTTCTTAAAACGTGATTCTACCAATATGTATGGCACTCAGACTATAACCTCCATGAAGTGCTGGGCAGAAAATGAATAAGGGAAGCATTGAGAAAAGCTGTCCATAAAATTACAGCTCCATAAAAATTACACAGAAGCAGGGGAAAGCAAAATAACGGTGGGAAATGTTAAACTAAAATAGACCAAGTAATATTGGTAGAGTTGGGAAACTAC